AAGATTAAATGGGCTTGGCTAGCCCAAAACGACATCAATCTGGATGTTTCATGGTGCTTGGCTTTCGCAGCAATAACTGGTTGAAACCACTTTGGTTTCAGCAATAATGGGCTGAAACTATTTTGGTTCCACAATCCGCACTGCCCCAATCTCTCTGTTTTGGCTTTTACCCGCCGACTCTCCGCAGTTGCTCCCACGGCAAATTTACTCTTACATTCAAGATCCTGCATTTAAATAGCTTCTCAAATAAATCTTACTCAAATTTGTCAGTTTGATTTAGAACATAAAAATGAAAATCCGTCGATCATTGTATTTGATTGATATTACCAAGTCTTACCTCAATTCAATTAGCCAAGTGAGTTTGTTTTCAACTTTTAATCATTTTTTGGGCTAATGCAAATTCTCTATTTCTCGCATAATATCCCCTCTCCCAAATTAAATTGCCTCCATCACTGCTGCAGACGTAAGAGGTCCTGCCCTCGATTGCCAAGCACTGCCTCACAGATGGCGATGCAGTAGCTATTGGAGAGACTAAAGAATGGGCTCCAAAATGGTAATGGACAAGGCGTAACTTTCCGTATCTGCTCCTTTGTGGATGTCAATCACTAGCAGATTGTTTTTTGGTCTTTTGACCATATCTCCAAGCTACTAGAGAAAGGAAAAGGAAGTAGAGCTCCTGTATATGAAGGTGGGGATTCCTTAAAGTGAAAATCGAATAGGAGAAGCGGAGTGGGTTTGATTTCAGGTATATTTTCTATCCCCAAATCCGTTGTTGATTAAGAGAATCATATGATTTCATTCTATTTCTTCCAATCCATGAAAATATTTTCTACAAAATTGAGTTTTGTAACATTTGGGTTCTTTGATTTGTTGATGAATTTATAGTTACTTTGCAATAGGCACTTTGATATTATTGTTCCCTGCATTAGAGGAAACAAACTACAAAAGTTTATTCATCTAGTGCTTGAGGCATTACCCAAGTAAAATCACTTGCAAATGGATTAAGGTGCCTACCACCACATGCTGTTTAAGGTTGCCATCTAAAAAGGGCTAAAATTTTTGTAAATGATGTAGCTAAAGAACGTGCTACTAATTACTATTGATGGGCATATTAAAATTGTTGATTTTAGAAGTGTAAAAACCATGCAGGATAGCCGCATCCTTCCTAATGCAGCTTTAGGTAATCATTTGATTTTATTATTTAGAAATTGTTTAAGACCTTTTTCTGAAATGTTAACCTAAGATTACTTCTGCCAACTTTGTCAAATCAAATGCCATACTATTGCTTTCTTGCAACAATAGTTCTTTTCTTGATATTTCTTTTTCCTGATATTTTTAAAAATTTTCTAGGATTGGGTAGTAACAGATCTCTAAAAAATAAAAGATGCGATGCTGTTTAAAGGACTATGGTCTGATTTCTCTACTTTCAGCATTGATAAATGCTTCAATTCAATTTGATAGCTCAACTTTAATTTCTTCCTTGCTTTTTTTTTTTTGTTTGGCGTAGAATTAAAGCAAAGACCAATCAGAAGAGGCAGAAAGAACTGGAGCAATCATTTCTAACCATGTTTTATATGTACATATACTGTATCATGTCTTCTTTTTCAAGCTTTGTTGCCAAGGTATGTTGATTTACCCTCTTCTGAGTTTTGTCACAATATAATTGTACTCTGGTATTGATTTAAGTTTTTTAGTCCATGATTAATATGCTTCTCCTTTTG